CCACCCCCCCCCCCCCAACCCCACCAACCCCCTCTCACCACCATCCTCCCATTCCCCCTCCTCCTCTCTCCCATCTGCACCCTCCCTCCCCCCTCCCCACCCCACCCTTGCCTCGCATTTGAGTTGAAAATCCGTACAGCAAACATTTTTTTCCCCCCCTCTGTTTTTTTGGAGCAGAGGAAACGTCAAGAGGAAAATAAAGAAAGGGAACGGGAATGAGAGGAAGATCAGATGGTTGCAGTCTGCTCTCTCTCTCTCTCTCTCTCCCTTCTTCTCTCCATTCGCAAAAAACAGCCGCCTTCCCCTCCGCACGCTCTCTCTCTCTCTCTCTCTCTCTCCGACCCCCCACCCTCCCCCCACACACACCTCGCTCACTCCCAGCCCGGTTTCCCCCCCAGGACTGCATCAGTCTTGGGGGAGACAAAGCAGTTTTTTTCCAGCAGTTAGTTTCCACGCACCGTGGGGAAATGTGATGATGATTGTTTAACTACGACATTTTTTTAACCATTTACTCTACACCTCTCCCCACTTCCCCACCACTTCCCTCCCCCCCCGCTGTCGTACACGTGAAATTGTGTCTTTGGGACACACTGTGCAGTGAATGTGTACGTGAACAGCCAATTTGCACAGAGCAATGTCCTGCAAACAGCCACGGAGGGAGTGACACCATTTTTATCTGGGTGATTGTCAGCCAGGAAACTGAGAGAGAGAGAAACTCGATAGCGCTATTCGAAAAGACAAGGGAATTTCTCTCTCCTGGTGTGTCCTGGCTAACAATCACCCAGATAAAATTGGTCACTCACTCCATGGCTGTCTGCGGGACACTCCTGTGCGCTATTGTGCACCCCTGTTTATATGTAAGTACACACCATTTCACAACGGAAGGCACTTTAAGACGTCCTTCCAACCTAATAATGCAAGCATTTTTATTATTATTATTCACTTCACGGCTATTTTGGGGGACATAGCTGTGAACAGATTAGCTGTCGACAAACACACAGTCACTACACTATACAGTGTATACCATGAAGCGCTTGGAGACATCCTCCCGACATAAAATAATAATAATAATCCTTGCATTCGATACAGCGCCTTATCACGTGATTGAGACGTCTCAAAGCGCTTCACAGGATATGCTGTAAAGTGAATTGACTGTGTGTTTTGTGGGTGAAACATAGCTGCCCCGAATCTAAGGCTCATTATAATTATCATCATCTGACAACCATTCCCTCCTCTCTTTCAATGCCTCCTGTTAACTGTCAAAGGATAAAATGCACCAGTGATTGCTTTGAAGTCTGCTTCCATTTCATCGGAGGTCCGATTTTCCACCGGGCCTCAGCATGCGGCACCATTTTGTCTTGAAAAATTGTGGGTTCGATCTGGATTTGGAAGGAGTTGATGAATCCGGACGGAGAGGAGGGGAGAGGGGAAGCGGGTGAGGGGAGAGGAGGAGGAGGAGGGATGAAGAGGGGAAGGAGAGGGGCGAGGAATAGAGGGAGAGTGGGGAGACTGAGCAGGCTTGTCGGAGGTCCTAGCCTTCAGATGGGATGTTAAAGTCGAAGTCCTGTCTGCCAATGTTCAGGGAACTAAAGGCAACAAGGCACTATTCGAAAAAGGCCTTCACACTGTGTTGAGTGACGATGGATAAACCTGGTCATTCACCTCGCGGCTGGTTGCAGGACATTGCTGTGCGAGCATTAAATTATTAATAATAACAAGAAGGGTTGCCTTTCACATTGGGAGGACGTCTCAAAGCACTTCACAGAATGTTCTGTGAAGGTCAGTGGCAGTGTATGTTGAAGGCGAAACACAGCAGACAATTCGTGTCCAGAAACCTCCACACAAACAGCCAACGGCCATGAGGCGAATGATCGGTTTCATTTTGGGGCAGTGTTGTCCTGAACACCAGGAGAAACTCCCTTCTCTTTTCGAAAGGAGCTCAGCGCTCTCGCCTCTGAGTTAGAAGGTTGTGGGATCAAGCCCCACGTCGGAACTTGAACTCACGTGGTCTTAAGCCGACGCCCCAATGCAGAACTGGGTTGGGGTGTTGGGGGGTGTTGCATTGTCGGAGGTGCAGTACTTTCGGTTGAGATGTTTAACCAAGGTCCCGCCTGCCTGTTCAGGTGGACGTTAAAGATCCCTTGACGCTATTTGAAAAGAGAAGGGAGTTTCTCTCTCTCTCTCGGTGTCCCAGGCCAATAATCCCCCAAATGAAATTGGTCGCTCACTCCACGGCTGTTTCTGGGACACTGCTGTGCGCAACCGGCTGCCGCATTTCGCCCACAAACTACACAATCTCTCCACCTTACAGCATATCCTGCGAAGCGCTTTGAGATGTCTCAACAACGTGTTCAGACGCGATATCAAGTGCAAGGATCATTATGATGATGTTATTACTTTCCTCCTGAAAATGACGCAGCTCTCTGAATGTCAGCCGTGTGGGGAACGTATGGAATAGATCTCACATCTTGGCAGGAGTCTCTGCATTTTTTGGGGGGTGTTGAAGGAAGGGGTGGGGGGGAAGGGAGGGAGGGAGGGAGGGGGTGGTTTTTTGGAGCAAGTCACCACAAAGCTGAGCTGGAACTCTCTGTGCATTAGTCAATTTCTTGGCACCCGCACGACAGGCCTGTAACGAGATCTCGTGTGAGCTGGGAAGTCATCTGCATTGTCGATTGTGAGAGCGTTGCAGAGGTTTGCAGCCGGTGTCAGAAATCCCCATTGACTCTCCCTCCATTCCGTTGTCAGCCTGGCTCACTTAGTCGTGGTTAGTCCTTAAATCGCTGTTGACCGATCAGTAAATAGGAACCCGGTTATTAGTTGATTGGGTGATCGCTTTTCCGGGGGTAATAATCCCTCCCTATGGCCACGACTGTTTGTGGGGCACGGCTGTGCGCAATCGGCTCCCGCATTTCACCCACAAAATAATAATAATGATCCTTGCATTTGATCTCGTGCCTTATCACGTCTTTGCGACGTCTCAAAGCGCTTCCCGGGATATACTGTAGAGCGGTTCGACTGTAGCTTTTGTGGGCAAAACGCACAGTCCATCCACTTTACGGTATATTCTGTGAAGCGCTTTGAGACGTCTCGAAGACGTGATAAAGCGCTGTATCAAATGCGAAGATTATTATTATTATTAATATTAGGGATCAGAAGACTGTGGGTTCAAGTCCCAACCTCGGGCCTTTCAAATCACAGTCTCGGCTGATAATCACGTGCGGATAATCGACACGTTGTCGGAAGTGCAACCAGTCTACGTGCCTGTAGAGGTGGACGATAAACATGCCGTGGTCACAATCGGGAAAAGTCAAGGGAGTCTCTCTCTCTCTCTCTCTCTCCCCCGGTGTCCTGGCCCCCAGATTAAATCAGTGGTGGCAGTTTGTGGAATTCAGCTGTGTGCAAATTGGCTGCCTCGATCACCCACAAAATACACACAAGTCGCTGCACTTTTACAGTAATATCTTGCCACGCGCTTCGAGGTATCCTCCCGACGTGAAAGGCGCTGTTATCGATTGCGCGGATTGTTATTATTACTGAAAGCTAAACAGCCTGTGTTCTCGTAGCCGGGGCTGCAGTAAACCAGGGCGTATCTGCTCCTGAGATCTCTCCAGTTCATTTGAGCTTATCCACATTTGGAGTCAAGTGGAGTCCCATAGCACAGGGCGCGATTGGCTGCCGCATTTCGCCCACAAAGTACACACTCAATTCACTTAACAATTTGTTCCGTGAAGCGCTTTGAGGCATCTCAAAGTGGAGTCCTGTAGCTCAGTGGTTGAGCGCTCGCTTTGCAAGCGAGAGACCTGAGTTCAATTCCAGGCAGGGCGGAACCTTGGGCAAGTTTCCTTACTACAACGCCTAATAATAATCCCTCCAAAACCCCAAACAATAATAAATTGGTCATTTTCAATCCACGACTGTGTTGTGGGACATTGCTGTGCGCAATTGGCTGCCGCGTTCGCCCACAAATATACAGTCAATTCACTTTACAGTGTGTTCTGTGAAGCGCTTTGGGACGTCCTCCCGACGTGAAAAGCGCTATATCAAATGCAAGGATTATTATTATCTCAACAACATGATAAGGCGCTATTATCAAATGCAAGGCTTATTATTTTAATCTCTCTGAGACACAACCCTGCAATGAAGAGGGGGTATATAATTGGAAGCTGTTGTTGTTATTGTCTCTCTCTCTCTCTCTCTCTCTCTCCCCCCCCTCCCGCAGTCCAGGCTAACAATTCCCCTCCTGATTAAAATCGGTCGTTCGCTTCATGTGGGACGTCACTGTGTGCAAACTGGCTGCCGTGTTCACCTATAAAACACGCAGTCGCTACACTTTACGTTGAAGAAGTGCGGAGTGGTTTGGAGAGGTCTCAATGACGCGATAAGGCGCTGTAGCCAATGCAAAGATTATTATTATTAATACAGTAAAACTTGCAGAAGTCTCATCTCTATAAACCTTATAATCTGCTAAGTCATAGACCCACCCGAGTCCCATTCAGTTTCCTGTGCGCAATTGGTTGCCCAGTTTCGTCCACAAAATATGCAGTCAATTCGCTTGTCAGTATATTCTGTGAAGCACTTTGAGACGTCTCGAAGAGGTGATAAGGCGCTGTGTCAAATGCAAGGATTATCATTAATATTATCTTCTTATTACCGTCTGCAGTGACGAAAGCATACAGCGTGCGCGTTGAATTATCCAGGCGCAGCGCAGATCGTTAATTGAATCGGGATTTTATACGCCTTCTTACAGTTTGCTCTAAACGCGGAACATCGCGTAAATCATACTAAATGTTTCAAAAAGGTAGATTTCGGTTAGAGAATAATATCGTGGGATACGGTGCATAGTTTGGGACACGACAGGCGTCAGGATGGTGGAAGGTGAACTGGATGAACCCCGGTCTTTTCTTACCTGGCAATGCTTATGTTATGGTCTTGGCTGATAGTGTATGGAGTTTTGCTGCTTCATTGTTGTTAACTCTCTCTCGTTCTCTGTGTCTCCACAGGTATATGCCCCACCAGCAAGCACTGCCGATTACAACAGAGACTCGCCAGGCTATCCTTCCTCCAAACCCCCAGCCAGCACCTTTCCCAGCTCATATTTTATGCAGGGTGAGTGGGGGGGCAACGGGTGTCACATTGGGGGGGGTGTTCGACGCTGACGGGAGACAAGAGGAGATAATAATAATCCTTGCGTCTCATATAGCGCCTTATCACGTCTTCGAGACGTCTCAAAGCGCTTTACGGAATAGACTGTAAAGTGAATTGACTGTGTATTTGAGATCAGGGGTAGGGGTAAGGGCGAGGAGAGATTCGAAGGCTCGGTTGATTCCCGTAATGTAGTGGTTAGCACGCCTCGTCTCGCAAGCGAGAGGACCCGGGTTCGATTCCCAGGCAGGGCGAAACCTTAGGCCAGTGTCCTTACTCCACAGTAAGTAGGAACCTGGTTGTTAGTCGATGGACGAATTACTTTTTAGCGGAAATAATCTCTTAATAAAAAAGTAGTCACTCAATCCATGACGAGGAATATTAATATTACTATTATTATAACGACCTGTGAATATAAAAACAGAAGTAGGCCATTCAGCCTTCGAGCCTGTTCCACCATTCTATTAGATCATGGCTCATCTGTCCCTCAGGTTCAATTACCTGCGTTTGCCCTCTATCCCTTGATACCCTGACCTAACAAATATCTATCTACCTGAGTCTTGAAGATGTGAGTGGATTCAGCATCCACAGCCTTTTGGGGGAAAGAGTTCCAGATTTCCACTACACTTTGGGTGAAAAACAGCCTCTGAATTTCACTCCTAAATGACCTAGCTCTAAAGTTAAGATAATGCCCCCTTGTTCTGGATTCGCCTACCGGAGAGGGGGAGTGAGACCAGAGGAGGTGACAGAGGTTGGGTAGGGGCAAGGACTTTGTGGAGTCCTGTAGCTCAGTGGTTAGAGCACTCGCTTTGCAAGCGAGAGACCTGAGTTCAATTCCAGGCAGAGGGCGAAACCTTGGGCAAGTTTCCTTACTCCACACAGAGCCTAATAATAATCCCTCCAAAACCAGAAACAGTAATAAATTGGTCATTTTCAATCTACGACTGTTTGTGGGACATTGCTGTGCGCAATTGGCTGCCGCGTTCGCCCACAAATACAGTCAATTCACTTTACAGTGTGTTCTGTGAAGCGCTTTGGGACGTCCTCCTGACGTGAAAAGTGCTATATCAAATGCAAGGATTATTATTATTAAGGACGTGGAGGCATTTGGAGGTTGGATTGAGGGGGAGGGAGGGAGGCCAATTTGCGAGGTGGGAGGGGCATGAGCAGCGGACTTGGTTTGATCATTGCCTGACGTACACGGGATGCTACAACACAGGACACCACGACATTTAGTACAAACCTCGGTACTTTAACGGGTCAGTAACCAAACCACTCGCCTTTCATTCAAGGGAATCACAGCAACAGGGTTTTTTTTGGGCAGCCGGGTGTTTGACACGTGCGGAAACTTATCACCGTGCTTGAAAGTCTCCAAACCAAACTGAGAATTCCACGCAACCCACCTACACATGGAAATCCCAGAGATACATTGTCGGACTGGAATGCGCTCTCTCTCTCTCTCCCTTCTGTCTCTCGTGTGTGCGCGGTGTGTGTCTTTCTCAGTCTTTCTCTCTATCTTTCTCTGTCTGTGCGAACTCTCTCTTTGTCTGTCTCTCTCTGTGTGTGTCTCTCTCTCTCTCTCTTTCTCTGTCAAGCTCTCTCTGTCTCTCTTTTTTTGTCTTTCTCTTTCTCCGTTTTTCTCTCTGTCTCTTTCTTTCTGACCCTCTTTCTCTCTCTCTATCTCTCTCTCTCTCTGTCTTTCTCTCTCACGACATGTGGTGGAAAATTACATAAGACGTTCTTGTTTCCAAGCATATAATAGATGGCATCAATAGGGAATAAGAGAGATGTGCAGTGATAGATTGGGAGGCCCCATGTAATCCAGTGCTCAGAGATGCAACGAGCTGCATAGATTGTCTCGTGGATGGATAAAGATTTGGTTTTAATCCAGATTCAGGGATCCTTAATTGCATAATTGAGCCTTGTAATCCCCACTCTCCTCTTTCTTCCCTGGTGCTTTGTGTGTGTGTGTGTGTGTGTTTGTGTGTTTGGTGTTAATGTATTGTTTCCCACTCTTTCTTCTCACTTAACCTTGAAGATCAGGATGCCGTCATCTGGGGGTGGGGGGAATGGGGGGACAGAGGAGGGAGGGCGGGGGGAGATTCTCCTGACCGACAATCTTCCTGGAGCAAAAATGGTCATTCTCTGTCAGAGTGCTCTTATGCGCAAACTGCAGAAATACATTTTGCCAAGCTTCACAGCAATTTCTTGAGACATTGCATTGCTGCAGGCACAAAAACACACATTACAATTGGAATCCTATAGCGTTGTGGTTAGAGCACTCGCCTGGCAAGCGAGAGGACCCTGGGTTCCATTCCTGGGCGGGGAGAAACCCGAGGCAAGTTTCCTTACTCCACACGCCTCTGTTTACTAAGCAGTAACGAGGAACCCGGTTGATAGACGATTGGCCAATCGCTTTTCCGGAGAGTAATAATCCCTTCAAGTTAAATGAATAAATTGGTCATTCAATCCACGACTGTTTGTGGGACACTGTTGTGCACAATTGGCTGCCGCGTTTCGCCCACAAAATATACAGTCAATTCACTTTACAATATGTCCTGTGAAGCGCTTTATGATGTCTCGATGACGTGATAAGGAGATATATCAAAGGCAAGGATTATTATTAATATATATATACATATTCATACAATGCAAACACAATAAATCCTTTGAGACGTCCATCCTCCTCCCCCACAACATGATGCAAGGATTGTGGTTGCTATTGTTATTGTTAAGTGTTATCGTGTGTTTCGTGGTTAAGCTTTGGGACCCTCTCGACGTGAAAGGCATGTTTATATGTAAATTTTCAGGGTGCTATTCTATATGAATTAATGTTTTCACGAGCTCACGTGATGCTCCCCCTCCCACCCTTCCTCTCCCCTCCCACCCTCCCTCTCCAACCCCCACCCAATCCCTCCGCCCGCAATGTTTAACGCTGACCTCTCGCTCACAGATGGCCATCACAATTCAGACCCGTGGAGCTCCTCCGGGGCGATGAACCAGCCGGGTTACGGAGCGATGCTCGGGAACTCGTCTCATGTTCCACAATCCAGCAGTTACTGCAGTATGCATCCGCACGAACGCCTGGTAAGGTTTGACCCTCGCCCGCCTTGCCCACTCGCTCGACCATCCGGCCGCCCGCTCGGACGCTCAAATCACACTCTCGCATCAGCCCAGGTCCGGTGACAAGAGAGCGGTGGTTTCAGGGGTAATTCGAGGCCAGGCATCAAGAACAATGCTGGGACGGTTTTCAACGGTGCCTGACTCAGGCATAGAATCAGAGGAGTTCTCCTGTCCTGTCCCATCCGTGTGTCAGCCCCGGGGCAGAGGTAGCCGGCTTGCTTCCGAGTCAGAAGGTTGTGGGTTCGAGTCCCCCACACGTCTGGACTTGGAATCACATCGTCTAGGTTGACTCTCTTGGGAGTGTGGCATTTGTCAGAGATGCCGTCCACTGGATGAACCGTTAAAAACGGTTAAAGATCCCACGGCGCAAGAGAGGGGAAGTTTCTCTCTCCCGGTGTCCTGGCCAACAATCCCCCCCCATATAAAATTTGAGCGTTCACTCCATGGCTGTTTCTGGGACCCTTCTATGCGCCACTGGCTGTCGCGTTTCACTCACAAAATCTAGAGTCATATCCCTGTGAAGCCCTCTGAGATATCTCGATGACGTAATAAGGCACCGTATCAAGTGCAAGGATTATTATTATTATTGTTATCCCGTACCCCGCTGTTTTTCACATCAAGTTGGACGTTGATGGGTTGTTTACACTTGTTGGTTAGTCTATAACGAGAGGATAAAATGTAGAGCTGTGGTTGAAGCTTAAAGCCTCAATGTCTTTAAGAGGAAACTTGATGCTCATATCAAGGGAAGAGAGAGAGAGAGAGATTAGAGGGAAAGAGAATAGAGAGGTAAGAGAGAACGTTGTATTCACTCAATATAACTCCTTATGAAATCCCGGCGTTTGATCCAGCACCTTGAAATATCTCAAAGCGCTCCACAGAGTTTACTCTTACCCACCAGGACCTTATTAATCTACACACAACGTGTTAAAGAATGAAAGCGAAGCTCTGTAAATGGCTTTTCTCTCTTTCTCTCACGCTTGCCTCTGTAATTAATGCCTGAAATGTTTGCCTTTGTAAATGAAACGCAGCCGTTCTGTGGACTGAGAGTCCACAGTCATCTCGCTGGGTGGGCTGTTTGAGGATTGTGTGTGTGTGTTTGTGTGTTGGTGTGGACTATTTTTAATCTCCTCTATACCTATAAGCATTGCTTGTAGATACAAAGATACACACACACACCAGATACACACACTCACACCAGATACACTCACACTAAATGTACACGCGCCCACCAAATACACACACCAAATACACACACTAAATTCACATGCACACACCAAATACACGCACCATACACCACACGCACACAAATACATTCGTACAAATACACATTCGCACATCAAATACACACGAGCACACCAAATGCACACAAATCGACTCACACACACACACACCCATATACACATACACAAGTGTTATATTTATAGGGAAATGGAGAGCTAACAGCTTACTCAATGTCACGGGATGAATGGGAATGATCATTAAGTCAATTTAAAACATTAAAAATCAGTCATTTCACCTCTTGGTTGTTGGTGGGGCATTGCTATGAACAAATTGGCTGCCATGTTGGCCTGCAAAATAAACAGTTACTACACTGATTAGTAATTTGGTCCAGCGCCTCTCCACAATATCTCAAAGCGCTTCACTGGAGTTCACTGTAAATAATAATAATCAAATAATAATAATTATTATGACCGTGTGTGTTTGTAGGCGAACACAGCAGCCAATGTGCTACAACAATGTCCAAGCAACGTCCAGGAAATGACTGACCCAATTTCATATCAATAATAACATTTGCTATATATCGGTCACTTGAGAATGAATCCTGTGAACTCCCTTTTGAGGCGTTTTAGCATTGCAGTCGCTGCATGGATGGCGAAGGTGATTTATGTGTGTTTATTGATGTCTTTACCCTTTCCCGTGGACTCTTGCCCGGCAGAGCTACCCGCCACACTCCTCCGCAGACATCAATGCCAGTCTTCCGCCGATGTCCAGCTTCCACCGCAGCGGCTCACATCAGTATGGAGCCTCGTCCTGCACACCGCCAGCTAATGGCTCCGACAACATAATGGGTACGTCAATGTCTCCGTCGCCGTAACTATAATAGTAACCCTTGCATTTGATACAGCGCCTTATCACGTCTTCCAGAAGCCTCAAAGCGCCTCCAGAATATACTGTAAAGTGAATTGATTGTGTATATTTTGTGGGCAAAACGGGGCAGCCAATTGCGCGCAGCAGCGTCCCACAAACAGTCGTGGATTGAAGTGACCGAATTAGTATTCTTATAATTTTTTTTTGGAGGGATTATTACCCTCGAGAAAGAGATCCGTCAATCGACTAACAACCGGGCTCCTACTTGCTGTTGGGTAAACGGAGTCGTGTGGAGTAAGGGAACTTGCCCAACATTTCGCCCTGCCGGGAATCGAACCCAAGTCTCTCGCTTGCGAGGCGAATGCTCTAACCACTGAGCCTCAGGACTCCACAGGACTATTATTATAATAATAATCCTTGCATTTGATATAGCCCTTAAAAAAAATAACAAAAATAATTTGGTCACTCGTTCCATGACTGTGGGACGCTGCTGTGCACAATTGGCTGCTGTGTTTCACCCACAAAACATTCAGTTAATCCACTTTACAATATATTCTGTGAAGCGCTTTGAGTCATCTAGAAGACGTGATAAGGCGCTATATCAAATGCAAGGAGTATTAGTATTATTATAGCGCCTTACCATGTCCTTGAGACGTCTCAAAGCGCTTCACATAATATACCGTAAGTGAATTGACTGTATTTTAAGGATGAAAAGCAGCAGCAAAGTCCCACAAAAACAGTCGCCAAATGAATGACTAAATTATTATTATTTTATTTATTTTTTGGAGGGGTTATTACCCACGAAAGTGATCCACCAATTGACTAACAACCGTGCTTCTACTTACTGCTCGGTAAATAGATGCGTGTGGAGTAAGGAAACTTGCCTAAGGTTTCGCCCAGACCGGAAAGACAGGAAAAATCCAAGGACTAAAACTAGGGTGTCAGCCGGGCTCAATCGGTAGCGCTCTCGCCTCTGGGTAGGGTGGTCCTAGCTGGTCGAGCAACGGGAAATTTGCCAGACAGCGATCCTAATGCGATCGTAAAATTGAAATAAAGAGTTTGGGCTATCAAATCACACACAAGAGGTCGGAGAGCAGAGGGAATGCGATACCTGTGTTGTAAAAATCATATCACTCAATGGAATAAGCCCGACCGAAACTCACTTAATCACTTTCCAAGATGTGGGACTTTCTTTTTTGGACGCCGCGAGTATTTTTTTTATTTTCATATCCAAACCCGACTGAATGATCCACGCACACACGCCACTTACACGTGGAAATATCCGTGTGTCTGAAATGGAATGTGCTCTCTCTCTCTCGCTCTCTCGCTCCCTCTCTCTTTCTCTGTCCTCTGAGGGACTCATCCTGCTTACTTCGTTCCGGAATGCATTATGCGTAGGTTGGAAAGAGCCAAGGCTTGGGGACCCCAGAGTGTGTGTCGGGGTAACTGCCTAACCAGCTAAAACCATTTAGCTTGACTATTGCTCTTGTCTGGCAAGCTTTCACGCTGCTTGTCCTGCTAGGACCACCCTACCCATTAGGGCTTTGGCTTGCAGGGTTAATAGGAGCTGAGTGGAAGGATTCCCTGCCCCCAATGACTAGTCTGTCCTTCCAGGTCCTGGGCTGTGCTGCCCTCAGCAATGCCTTGGAATACAGCCAGTTCAGCCCCAAGGAGACCCCACTTACCTTCTCCCACCACCCCAGTCATTAGTGAATCAGAAGACCTGACTGTCCCGCAAACAGTCAACGATTGAGTGGCAAAATTATTATTGTCATTATTTTTTTAAGGGATTATTGCCCCCGGAAAAGCAATCCGCCAATTCACTAAGAACCAGGTTCCTACTTACTGCTGGGTAAACAGAGGTGTGTGGAGTAAGGAAACTTGCCCAGCGTTTCACCTTGCCCGGGAACCAAACCCAGGTCCTCTCGCTTGCGAGGCGAGTGCTCAGATCACTACGCTGCAGGACTCTTAACAAACCAGCAACATTGCTGGTACCTCACTCGCCCTGTCACACCCCTCTGTGTCCAACCTCCGCACTTAAATAGACATGCAATTAAGTGGCGTGTGGATAAGCGGTGTTGCAGTGTAGTTCCTGCAGACTCCAGCACAGAGACTGAGGACTCGGTGGGTAATAAGCAAACAAATAAATAAAATCGTCCAAGCTTCTTACTGTCAAACAATCCCCAGGGTGCTCAGCCTCTCGAGTCATATCTGAGTTGAGTGTAAAGTCAGTGAGTACGTGGCTTGTTTATTTGTGTGGCTGTTACAGCACTCCTTGTCCTATGCGAAGGGGCACTGTATAAATGCAAGCTGTTGCTGTTGTTGGCGTGATCTATAATGTCCACCTGAACACGATACAGATGGGACCCCGGTTTAGCCTCTCATCTGAAGGACAATTCACAACACAAAACCCAGGGGCTTCAATCCACAACCTTCTGACTCGGAGGCCATTGAGCGCTACCAACTGAGCCAGGCTGACTCCGTGTAAAGTGTAGTGACTGTTTGTATTGTGCTGAGGCACTTGAGAATAAAACGGAGTAAGGAAACTTGCCGAAGGGCCGAAACCTTAGGGAAGTTTCCTTACTCCACACGCCTCTGTTTACCTAGCAGTAAGTAGGAACCCGGTTGTGTGTCGATTGGCGGATCGCTTCCTGGGGGTAATAATCCCTCCGCTCTGAGACGTCTCACTGACGTGATAAGGCGCCGTATCAAATGCAAGGTACATGCATTTTAACAATAAAATGCCTTTAGTTTCTGAACCGGGCCACACTCTCACAGACTGGCTTGTTCCGGGTACCAGGAATGTGTCACTAGGACGAGGTCAGTGGGTTGGGTGAAGTGAGACCTCTTATGTGACCAATTTTATTGTTCTTCCCTTTCAGCAAACAGATCAGGCAGCACCTCGGGCACTTCACAGACCGGCGACGCACTGGGCAAAGCACTCGCTTCAGTATGTCACTTTGCTTTATGTTGTTGCTGTTGTTTTTTGGGGGGGGAGGGGAGATGCCGTACATGGTAATGCTGTGCTGCTATGGGGTGGGTGGAAGAGAGTGTGATTTGTGTTAGTTTTAATTCCCGAGTCCCAGATATCCTCCTGATCTGAAATAGAAACAGAAGTCGCTGGGAACACTCAGCAGGTCAGGCAGCATCTACGGAGAGAGGAAAGTGAGTCAACGTTTCAGGTCGATGACCTGTCGTCAGAACTCCTCACTCCTGATCTGAGCCTGGCCTCTTCCCACTCGTCTCCCGTGAACCCCGCAAGTCAAAGCTCGATCGTGTCGGCATCTCCCAGCTGGACAAGCAGCGGGAAAGCTTGCCAGGCAGTGCTCTCAATGGCAGGGTGTGCGGTTTTAGCTGATTCGACTCTCGATGTGAAAGTCATACAAGTGGAAATTGTTGTAGTTGGATTCCGCATGTGTCAGCCACTCGGCTGACCTTAATTACTGTGAAACACTCCCGAGATATTCTCAAGTTATCGATGCTACGCAGATAACTGCAAGTTCTTCTGAAGAGCATCGAATTAGATTGCACAGTTACACTTATACAGCGCCTTTTAACGTCGGGAGGACTTCTCAAAGAGCTTCACGCAGCTGAAAGGATAGCTGAAAGTGCGGTCGAAAAGATATTCCTGAGAGGTGGGTCTGGGGAAGTGATTTAGAAATTCACAAATTGAATCCTTTTGAGGGGGAGAGGTGGGGCCGGTGAACCGAACAATCTTTCCGTGTGCTGCCATTGTTCAACGAACGATTCCTGCTCCGTGTTCCCCTTCAGATCTATTCACCCGACCACACCAACAACAGTTTCTCTTCAAATCCATCCACGCCTGTTGGATCTCCGCCATCACTCACAGGTAGAACAAAGCACATGGTGCGGGGGTTAAGTGGGGGTGTTTGTTTATTGGGGCGGGTTCATTGGAGCGTGGGTTGGTTTGAGGGTTGGGTCGGTTGATGGAGGGTTGGGTCGGCAGCCTGTTTGGTGGGAGTGGTGGGATGGGTTTGTTGATTGGTGGGTGGGTTGGTAGGTGGGTGGTTGTTGTTGTTGTTGTAGTGCTCTTGGATTCTGCAGTGTGTGAGGGGGTACTGTATAAATGCAGGTTGTTAGTGGTGATTGAGCAGGTTGGTTGGTTGGGGGGGTGAGTTTGTTGGGGGTTGAGTTTGTTGGGTGGGGGGTGGGTGGGAAGTAGAGATGGTGCCATTCACAGACTAACTTGTGTAACTCCGCTCCCTGTGTTCAGCAGGTACCCAGGTGTGGTCCAGAAATGGTGGCCAGGGACCATCTTCTCCCATTTACGAAGCCCCTCTTCACTCCTTGGTAGGTTTGAGAAACAGCCACAAGCTGTCCAAATCACATTAATAATACGGGAATAATAATCCTTGCATTTCAGCACCTGGTTGGGAAGTGGTGGTGCGGGGGGGAACACACCATGTTTTGAGGGTGGAAAGTTGGAGGCAAAGTTTTGAGGAGTGAGAAGTTTTGGGAAAGGGCTGCAAGTTTGGGGAGTGAAAGTTTTAGGGGGAAATTTGGGGGTGAAAGATTTATTTGAAAGGTTTTGTGAGCGGAAAGAAAGTTTCGTTACTCCACACGCCTCTGTTTACCTACCTACCAGTAAGTAGGAACCCCGGTTGTTAGTAATTTGGAAGATCACTTTCTGAGGGTAAGGATCCTGCCACAAAAAAGAAATTCGATTGTTTAATCCAATATTGTAGGCCGCTGCTGTGCGCAATTGGCCGCGTATTTTGCCCACAAAATACACAGTCAATCCATTGTACAAGATGCTCTGTGCTTTGAGACGTCTCGACGACGTGATGAGGCGCTTTCTCCAATGCAAGTTCTGGTTACGATTATTACGTCCTCCCGACGTGATAAGGCGAGATCAAAGGCAAGGATTGCGATCATCATCTTCTCTTGTTGCTAACCCCCAGCAAACCCGTATTGAAGACCGCTTGGAAAGACTGGACGACGCCATCCACGTGTTGAGGAATCACGCAGTGGGACCTTCCACGGCGATGCCAACCAGTCACAGCGACCTGCACAGTTTAATAGGACCATCGCACAACGGGCCAATGGGAGGCTTGGGCTCGGGCTACGGGACGAGTCTGCTCTCAGCCAACAGACATTCTCTAATGGTAAGAGGAGTAAAGGAAGAGGAATAATTATTATTATTTATATTATTGTTTCGGGCAATAATATACACAGTAGTTTGGGACACGACATGTGCAAGCGATTGCCAGGGTGGTGGGAGGCGAACTGGATGGACCTCGGGCTTCTTTCGCGAGCAAATTGGTATGTTTTTATGGTCTTAAGAGGCCGTCTTGATACAGGAAATAAAGGAGAAACTGTTTCCACTGGCGGGTGGGCCGGTAACCAAGAGGACACCCCAGATTTAAGCTAATTGGCCAAAGAACCACTGGATATGGGGAACGTGGGGTGGGGTGTGGGGGTGGGGAGTGCAAGCTCCAACCCTAACCCTAACCCACCTGAAACATTTGTGTTTTCAAACCAACCTTGGATAAATTGACTCGATTGTTTTTCTCCCACCCCCAACTACCGAAAACAAAATCCCTTGGGACTTAATCCCCCAAAAATCTGTCCCCCACCCAAAAACAATTGGTCCCCAAGAATTTAACCCCCAATCTCTCAATCACACCCAAACTTTAACCCCCCCCACCCAACATTTCACCCTAAAACAACCTCATGCAAATCGCCCGCATACACACCAGCCCCAACTCTTCATCCAAGCCCAAAGCGATCTCATCTCCCCCATCCCACATCCTCTCTTCTCCCCCTCCCTTGCAACACCTTTCTTAACCACTACCTAACTCTCTCCCCTTTCCTAACCCATAGCCCCCTCTTTTCCCCATTTCCCTCCTCTCTGCCCTCCACTCTCTCACCCCGCACTCCTCTCTCCCCCCACACGCACTAAAGTTGTGGAAAAGAAACGTCACGGGGAATCTGTTGAAGTGTTTATTTTTCCCGGGTGCCAAACGTCCGGAGCCAACAGAGTCTGGCAATCAAAGCGATTGTGGAGGAGTGTTGTTGTTGTTGTTGTTGTTGTTCCAGAGGGGGCTGATGGTTTTCATCTTGAAAAAGAGGAAATCATCTTCTTTGGAACCGAACACATGCGCAAGAGAGAGAGAGAGGGAGGGAGGGAGGGAGAAAAGGAAATGGAGAGAAGTGACTCTGGGAGTAGGGGGAACTGTAATCTATTCCACATTTGTGAGTTTAATGCTGAAAGGAGGTCATAAAGATGAAGCCAAAAGAAAAAAAACGTTCGTCAGAAAAGAAACAGTGGGTGGGTAATAATGGAAACATATGGCTGCGATGAGAGAGAGGAAGAGAGAGAGAGAGAGGATGGTGGGGGAAAGAGGGAGAGGGGGGGAGAGAGAGGAGAAAGAGACAGAGAGGGAGAAGAAGAGAGAGAATGATTTCTTCTTCACGTCACACCCTCGTACCTCCATATTGTCCTTTTTATATAATACTAGCTGTACCCGTTACAGCTTTACTTGCAACCAAAGGATTATTATCATTATTATTATTATAAGGATCCAATGTGGAATGTAGATGGACACACAGACAGATATTTCATCTTTTTTCTATGCTATACTCACCTGTGAGGACTCCTTTTGGGAGGACTCAATGGGAGGACTCAGCACCTTAAAAATGTAGTGTTGCTATTGTTACCGTGGCTTAGCTTTGTCTGTGTTCTTTGTTAGCTACGTGCGTGCTCTGTGATGCAGGATGCCACAGCACCACGGTCAGGTGTAACTGCAGCGCGTGCATACATACGCAGGTGCTCTGCGACGCACAATGCCACAGCCCCACTTTGGATCGGCCACCACCAGATTTGACTGCAGCGAAAACGGGAAACCAAAAATAACTCGTGAACGATACGAGATACCCGAAAACAAATATGCCCATGTCACTCCCAGTTGCAAGACCTTTCCGATGAAGTATAAATAGTGTCTTTACGTCAATCGGTTATTGAGAGCGCAGACAGACATTATCGTTTTATTGGTATAGATAGATAAGCTAAGCATAGATGTTAAAAAAAATTGCTTTAATAATAATAAGCCTTGCATTTGAGTTGGTGCCTCAGAGACGTCACAAAGCGCTTCACAGAATAAACTGTAAAGCGCGGGTGACTGTGTATTTTGTGGGTGAAACGCGGCAGCCGATTGCGCACAGCGGCGTCCCACAAACAGCCATGAAGGGAGTGAGCAAATTAGGTTTCAAAGCAAGAGACGGAGGGAGCAAAAGAGAGAGAATGATCTCTTCTTCGCGTCACACCCTCGAACCTTTCTTTTTATATGTTGTATAGATATAGATATAGAAACTAAATATAGACGTTAAAAAATTGCTTTGTAAACAACTGTTCAGACTCACATCTCCTGCAGATGTTGTCTCGCAGGTTTCAGCTGTACTGCTGGGGCTTCACGTGGCAGCTGGTTATCAATGTTCCGTCTTGCAGAACATGCGTATGAAACAATAACTGTACTGGCATCAGGATTGGGGGGAGGGAGAGAGAGAGAGAGAGAGAGAGAGAGAGTGGGGGTGGGTTGGGCTTTTAATATGTGTTCTGTCTGGAGGAGAAAGCCAAATGGAGCTCCAGCAACTTTTTGTTTGATGCAGCGACTTATCAAATCGTCGAGACGTCTCAAAGCGCCTCATAGAAATATATTGTAAAGTGATTTGACCATATGTTTTGTGGGCGAACAAACGGCAATGGATCGAGGGACCGATTTTATTTGGGGAATTGGTCGGCCAGGACACCCGAGAGAGAGAGAGAGAGAGAGAGACCCCCTTCTCTTTTCCAATTGCTCCGCAGGCTCTCTAACGTCCACCTGAACAGCCGATTCGTTTGGCGTGAAATCCCGTGGAGCGCTTTGAGATTAACAGTAACGATAACGTACTGTGTGAGGCGCTTTGAAACGTCTCCCGAGGACAGGATAAGACGGTGTATCGGATTGCGGTGATTGTTGTAGCATTGTAACAGGTGAAATCACAAAGGGCTGCACCGTTGTGGGAAGCTCTGAAACCTCAGCCCGGTATTTGGTTTCCTGCGGATCAAGACGGGAATTTAGAATTTTCCGAAGTTCCAGTAACCCCTAAAATTTTTACGACTCAACGGACGTGAGACTGAGACTCTCACTGTGCAGAGAGAGAACTCCCCAATAACCACTCCTGCTTTCCATTTAGAGCAAAGAGGACCCTATGTTAGATTGTGTACCCTCACACTCGCCCCCCGCCCCACCCCTCACACGACAGGAATGGCACCATACACTCTGTACGTCCACTATGTACCCTCCACACACTCCCTCTACACACATACAATGCACACACCTCATGCACACCCAATACACATACCCAATACACACACACAATACACACACCTCATACACCCAATGTGCACACCCTCTGCCTATACCCTTTGCACGCTCCCTCCACACATATCCTCCATACACACTTCTCTTCACACTTTCTCTATACACACCCTCTACACACACCCTCTAAACACACCCTCTACGCACCCAATGTACACACCTCATACACACACTATATTCACACTATATTCGAACACCACATACACATCCTCTACATATACCCTACACACACCATGTACACACACTTCATACACACCCTCTACACACATCCTCTACATGCACACTATACACCATATGTGTACACACCCACCCATACACACAATACAACAACTGCATTTATATAGTGCCCTTCACACGTGTTGTGTCTCATAGTGCTTAGAAACACCTCATATACGCACACCTTATTCACACAGTACAGCATACATGCACACATACTCATACCTACACCATACACACCCGCACATCATACACACCCCGTCCGCACACCACGTACGCACCATTATAGGGAGTGTCAGCCTGCAGATGAGCAATTGTTAAGCCAGGGTCTTGTTTAGTCCTGTTCAGTTGNTTTTTTTAAAGATCCCGTTACAGTATTGGAAGCGTGAAGCGAATTTCTCCCTGTGTCCTGGCTAACAATTGTTCCAGATGTTGAAAAAAATCTTGGTCATTCATTTCACAGCTGCTTGTGGGACACCGCTGTGTGCAAAATTGGCTGCAAGTCATTAGTTTGCAAGCACACAGTCACTACACTTCACGGTAACTCGATGAAGCACTTTGTTTGGTGAGTCAGTGACTGTGAAGAGCGTTGATTTAAGTTACTTAGCAAACGAGCAAATGGGAAAGTTAGGAGAATATTTTTTCACGCAGTGATTAGTCTATGGAATGCTCTGCCGAGAGCGAACGCATGGAACGGAATCTATAATGGCTCTCAAAAGGCAACGATAGATATCTGAAAAGGAGTTAACTTGATACATATCTAAATACGGAACTAGATAGGTATCTAAACACGGAACTAGATAGATATCTAAAAAGCGGTAATGTTGTGGGGTCCTGTAACTCAGTGGTGTTGGAACACTCACCTCACGAGCGACAGACCCGAGTTTGATTCCTGGCAGGACAAAACTGGGCAAGTTTCCTTACTCCACACGCCTCTGTTTCCCTGGCAGTAAGCAGGAGCCCGGTTGTTAGTCGATTGGCAGATCGTTTCTCCGGGTTTAAGCGCCTTGGGACGTCCTCCTGACCTGAGAGGCGCTGTACAAATCCAATCTGTTGTTGTTGTCAATAATCCCTTCCAACAAAAAAATAAATAAAATGATAATAATTTGTTCGCTCAACCCACGGCTGTTTGTGGGACGCTGCTGTGCGCAATAGGCTCCCGCGTTTCGCCCACAAATACACAGTCAATTCACTCTACAGTATATTCTGTGAAGCGCTTTGAGACGTCTCGGAGACGTGATAAAGCGCTGTATCAAATACAAGGATTATTATTGTTACAACAACAACAAATTGCACTTATATATCGCCCTCTGCCCCGCTTACAGTTCGCTGCGGGCTGTCGCTGTGCTGGTACATTTGCTCAGAAGATTCCTACGTCTATTACTGCAAAGTAGTGCAATGTTTTAATGTGGAGGCCTGTGGCTCAGTGGTTAGAGCACTCGCCTCGCAAGCGAGAGACCTGGGTTGGATTCCTGGCAGGGCTAAACCTTGGGCAAGTTTCCTTACTCCGCACGCCTGATAACAATCCC